TTCGCGTTTCCAGCTTGAAGTTTTACGAGTGTGAGTGGGTAAAAAAAAACTACGAGCGCGTTAAAAAGTTCACACACAAATTGCATTATTTCCGCGCAGCGATATATATTGGCGCGTTTTTCATGCTTTGCATATTTTTTCGCCCGTTGTAACTGGAACAAAAGCGGTGGAAAAAAGTTTAGGGCGATTGTTGTGGATGTGAATTTTGCATAAGAACATGAGCAGCAGCACCCAGGAGAACGAAAAGCGGAAGGAGTCGCTTTCATTCCGGACACTTAGCACTCAAAAAAAATTATTATAATTATGCAGTTGAAAAGAGGGAATATTTAATGTATAATTTATTTGTGATATAGTATATATTTTCGATATTTTTAATTTGGGTTTATTATTTTAGTTTGGCTTTAAAAATGTGTGGTCTGTTTTATAAACTGATGGTGACAAGACAACAAAAAAAAATATATTTAAAATTACATCTCCATTTTTTTCAATGCCTACACATTCATACGTTCTTATATGGCAAACGTCTCATTTATTTTAAAATTTCCATTTAAACCCGCTGAGTAAGTTGCTGCTGTTGCTGTGGGGATCAAGTAACTTGTGATTCGTGAAGCCAAGTGGTTTCTCGCCACCTGAAAATTAGTCGAGAGCTCCCTGATTTACAGCGAATTTTAGGTGTATTAAGGCATTAGGCCAGGTCTTTGCCTCTGGCTGAGAACTTCTCCCTTCCAAGCGGCCAAAATGTAATTTTCTTAGCACTTTTGTTCACGCCCGACGACACATGTTGTGGTTCACACACCAACTCACCCGCATTTACCGCACCCATACAAAGCGACTTGACACGGACACAGATACACAGAAGCACACACACACACCCAGAAACCGCAGACACCGATACTAATGCCCCCGGCAACATTTACATACTCGCCCAAACATAAGCATAAGCGCAACTTAGCTTGCCAAAGTTTTTTGTTCAACTTTCCGTTGCCAGAAGCGAGCTTTAAATGGGAGTGGACTGGTCCTGACTAATTGATACCCTAACAGCTTGTGACAGGAGGGCTGGTGTTTTATTGCTGCTATAGGGTTCATAAGAATATTAATCATATGCAATGTTGCCACCATGTGGATAATTTGAAGTTAAGATCGATACATCTAATTTTGAATAAAATAATTTTAATTAAAATAAACCTTTTATAAGAAACTTAATTTGTGTAATAAACGAAAAACGTGCTCAAGTTTTTCTTGGCCTTATTGACTTACTGTCATGTGCTGTCAACACACTAACAAAACGATAGCCAAAATACCCTTTTATTACTGCTTGGCATATTTAAATGCTGGAAGACCGAAGTTCGAAAGTAGCTGCCAGAAAAATGCTTATAGTACAATCTCCGTCCTCAAATCGTCTGGTTGACGACACGCTTAGATTCAGCCCTTGGGCTGTGGCACTTTGGCACTTTGAAACTCTGGGATTGCGGTGGATTTAATCGATAGCCACGCTAATAGTTGTGCTGGGCGACATATGGGAATATCTGATGGGGCTGCATTTCAACTCCTGGCTGCCAATCATTTTACGCTTGATTGCCGTCCAAGGCCGGTGGCTCTGGCCCCGGAATACAGAATACGGAATCCGAAATCTGATGTTTTTCCGTGGGATTTGGGCAGCCAAGTTAGACATTAAGCCGGTGGCTGAGGCAAAGCCCCGTCTGAACTGCCGGCAATTCATCTAAATCAGGTTCGCTGTGCGGTTGTGGCTTCAATTAATTAAAACAAATTGTATTTGCCCGTGGCCCTGAAACCCATCGGCCGGCTGCTGATGGCCGGCCATCTTCCGTGTACACACTCATTCTTTTTTCAATTAATTGTTATTTCATTAGCTTCCATTACTCGCCGAGCCACCCACGCGGGCAATTAATGAAGTGGGGCGCCCATTCACCATTCACCTGGCTAGATGCCGAAGTGGGTTGATCCTAGGGAGTTGAGCGTTATAATTTTCACTTTTATTGGCTTTTAATGAATGCGAAATTGCCAGGGATTATGAATACACTTGCCCATTATCTGCTGCAGGGCCATTCATTAGATTACAAAACGTTTTACGGGCTTTGGTTGGGGTCTAAGTTTTACCTTTCTCACTTTCCAGTGGCTTAAACATTACACATTTTTGTTTATTTCTACTTAATTTATAATTTTATTTATAATATAATATAATATTTATTATATATATATATTTTTTTTTTCTTATTTATTTAACAATTAATGAAGCAAAATTCTTGTTGCTTTGCATTACAAATTTTGTTCTGCTCATTTCACATAATCTTTAATCCTTTACAAAAAGCTAATCACTTGTCATCTAACAGTTTTGATGAAATGTCGAATCGCAGCTTAAACTGAAAGTGAAAACACGGCCGATGGCCTCAGGTGCATTGAGCAACTGTGATCGAAATGGCATTGTCACCGAATCAGTGGTCTGTTTGTGGAGGGCTGCAGCTTTCAGCTGCCGCTTGACTTGAATTCAGGAGCCGTTCCATTGACTTGTCAAGTGATGCTATCAAGCCGGGCTTGTGGTCGTTACACTGAATGCGCCTGTATGTTTGTTTGTTTGTCCGCTCAACTGCTGATTCACTTGTCTGCCGCCTGGCAATTGAATGCCACTCTGCGGCAACGCAATGCACTCCTGTGGGCTCCATCCTGTCTGACTGCCATTCTGCGTGAGTCCTTTCAACACTTTGCACTTCCCGGCAAACAATCACATTCATTGACTTGCATTACGGTGTTTTACGGTGGTTCGTACTACAAACAGTTCTCCCACACATGAGGGACTTTTACACCGCAGAAGGTATTCCCTTGCAACTGGGACGCCACTCGGCTGATTATTGCTTACTTATTGATAGCGAAACTGATTCGCCAAGTGTGCGGTAAAAGCAGCGATAAGTTTGCTCCCTGCGGAGCCAGTGAAGCATGCCACTTGGCAGCAGATACTTTCGTATCTCTCAGATACGATGGCTGACTTTCTGTCGGCGGTAATTAAACTAACACACCATACAGATCCTGCTGAAATGGGTGAAAACAAGCCTCGAGCTTTTAACTGTCGGTATATGAAAAGCCAATTATAAAATCACAATAATGTTCAAATTCACATCACAATTTTTAAATCAAAAGAGCAAATATTATCAGTATACGCGTAAAAGTTAATAAATGCTAAAATAACAAAGTAATATCCTTTCGAAAATCACAGATATGTTTAAAATCCCATTAAGATGCTTTAATCCAAAGAGCAAATATTGATTCCAGCGCACTGGCTATGGAAAATGTTATATATTTTCATTTTCGCTTATTTGTTATCCTTTTGCCATTATTGATTTGGGAGATAGATTGCATTGGGGTGGTTGTGTTTGCGTTGGTCTTTATTTATAAATGCTAGATTTATGAAAAGCTAAAGAAAAAAAAAAACTATTAAAAGTGGCTAACCAAAAAAGACCAACTGTGAAGCTCTAACCGCAGGCATTTTCATATTCTCTGAAATATTTTGAATTTCGTAACAAGTTATACTTTAAAGTGAGCATATGATGGGCGTCCTCTGCTTTGCCCATTCTCTCCAGTGGCAGTTAACTTTGAGTTTCCTCACCTGAGCCAGGGCACTTGCCCCATTTGCCCCACTTGCCCCACAGCGGGGGATTCCCCACGCAGCCGGGAGTCGTGAGTCCTGAATCAACGCCGCAAACCGCAAAGGACACGCGGCAGACCGCAGACAACAAAAACAAGTGAAAACAGTTGAGCCCACTTTGGAGGTAATGAGGCGGTGCTAGTGGGTCGCAGGCAGGCATTAGCATTAGCCATTCAGCGCAGAGGCACTGGCTTATTTTCATAATTGCCGCGGCTAAGTCGCGTTCTTGGCGAAAAAAACAGCAAAAGCGCAGCGGGATTGCCGCTAATCAGGACCTCGGTCAATAAACGACTTGATAAACATGATGAAATGATTACAAAGTCAACAGCTTATTTGCCATGCCAGAGACATTTCAAATTCTCAGCTCGGTACTCAACTGAATCAAAGTGCGTGGAGTAAGCACGATTTCTTAATTATGTGTACACACGACTGCACGGAAAGAAATTAAGATTTTGATTTCCTGGGAAACCATTAAAGGTGACTTATTTAATCTCTGGGCAAGGGTACGGGAATGGATTTTGACTTTGTAAATACATATATTTTTGTTAAACAGCATTTCCACTACGATTTCCATTTTCCTCCATGAATCTTTGAATGCCAGTATTTATTTTGAAATTTCTTTTTTGCCCACTATTTTGATGGTGTAGAAATTTTCTTGTGCATAATAAACAATTTGTCAAAAATGTTGTAATTCCAGCCGTTTAACGTATTTGGTTGGTGTTCATACAAGCCACGAAATTATTAAAAATTTATAATTTTTGCTTAATATTCAAGCTGACAAAATTGCACCCAAAAAAAGAAACTTTATACAACATTTTTTAGCACACACAACATTTTACAGCTATGGAATTTGAATTTATTTAGGAAATATTATTTTAAGCTTTATAATTTTGCCAGTTTTAGCATACTTAAAATTAAAGTAGGTAAGAAATTTTATGAGAGGTTTTAGACTTTTAAATGTATCTTATCCCTCAAACACAGACTCTTTAAATATATTAAATTTAAAAAGAAAAGTAATGAATCGATTTAAGACAGTGTCAAATTTGTTTTGTGTGTGTTGTGGTGTTCACATTTAAGTTGGATGAAGAATAAAGTATCCATTGGGAGAAAAGGAGATGAGTCAACCACCCGCTTGTTGCTGGCAAAAACTTTTCATTATATTTATGATACAGCTTGACTTTTGTTTTGTTTGTTTAACTTCTTGTCAACCTACATAATCTGGGGCTCTCTTTTTTCCCGGCTGCTCTGTTAGCCAACTCTCTTTGCCTGTTAGCCAGTGCGCAGGTCGCCGGAGTTGGCAATTGAATTTCACAGTAATTTCCTGGCCACGACTGGCATACGCTTCAGATAATCACTTGTCGGCCTGCGAGTCGGACGTGTTTTAGCCGCAAAGTAGAAAACGAAAATTGTAATAAAGGCGCTTTCGGAATCCGTTTGTTCATTCATAAAGCCGTGTCTTTTTACGCGAAAGCCACAACAAACACGCATTCGCATCCTGGAGGACAACGACATCATCACTCGTGTGTGTGTGTGCGTGTGAGTGCTGTATTGTGTGTGTTTTGTGCCGACAGGTAATACATCCACTGACCAAGGTGATAGTAGAGAAAACACACATAATAATTGCAAGGGACAAGCGAGTTAGTTGTTGTCCATTCAGGTGAGCCGAAATTTGTCGACAGGACATTGTTATCGCGGCGCCATTATGCTATGTGATTTCTTCTAATGCAATTTGGGGACGACTATTTCATTCGATTTGCCTTGCCTTTATTTGATTTTATTGTTGATCCGTCTTTAATTTGTTGCTGGACACCTGCGGGCAGGGCGTATACTTGATGTTAAGACGCCCAACTGCCCCATAAAAAGACTTTCTGGGGTTTCTCCGGTACAGCCACATTACCCACTCAAAGCGGTCCAAATATTTTATGGTCTACCACTTAAGTGCATCGCTGTCTTGGCTTTTGTCTCTCCTTTTATAGTTGGTGCTTGAATTTTAAACGGCTGTCATGTGTCTCGTGTATTCTGGTAAGTGAAGGACCGTAAATCTCTGCTGATTATGTTGCTCCTTCGGCAGTTAAAAATTCAACAAAACCAGCAGAAAATATATATATATATATGCGCCAGCAAACAGCAGTCTCACATGCTTTGCATATTGCTTATCTAAATTGTTTTTGCCAGTTCCCCCGGAGTTCACACAAGTGGGAAAAAGGCGGTCGGGCCATTAAACAGAAAACACATACTCTCGGCTAGGCCATTTTTCAATGTCATTTAAAGGCAGCAACGGAATTTCGACATTGGCCATTAATAAATTAGTTAGCAGTTCGTGTCTCAGCCTGCTAATTGAGTGGTAAATGCGAATACGCTTTGAAGTCGAAGTCCTGGAAAAGACGTGGGCTGAAATCGCAGCTCTGAAATCAGGAATCAGCATCAAATTAAAAAAGAAATGCCCGAGATCCAGGAGCCATCAACAGCTGCGCCCACGCCCCAAAAAGAAAGTAATTTAAGGCGCTTTCCGCAAGAACCTTTCACCCCCATCTGTCCTTCACTTCCGTCGCAGCCTTTCGCAGCCTTTCACACATCTCTTAGCACTTTGGCCAAAACTTTACAGCCGCTTCGGTTTAGGGCATATATAAATAAATACATAAATGGGAATCTGAATTTGGATGTGTGTGCGAGTTTGTTTGCCTGTCCTGTTTTCCTACAAATCTTTTTAACAATTCAAAAATGTTTACTGGAACGAATTTATGGGATCCCTGTTGGTTGGCTTGACTCTCACATCTGTTGTGCAACTTGGCTTAAAACCTTCTTCGAGGCCGAATACTCATTACATTCTTGTTGATTTTGGATTGAATATAAGAAATATACGAAAACATCAGGAAGCGCATATCAAATGCAGAATATGAGAGTTCTGAGAAGTATTTTTCAGCCCAAAAATAATGTTTGCATTCTTTCCAGCGAAAAGGCAAACGATTATTATAAAAAATGTGGGGCATTTAAGAAGACCAAAAGGGAGTCTGGTTGAAAAAACTGCTGTAATTTAAGCTACATGAACATGAGCTTTATTTAAGGGTGTAACAAATTGTTGTGCGCTTACACAAAAGCGATATAGAAATGCAAAGGGCATGGGTACTGGAAGCCAGCTTCAAATATAAGTAGATAAATCAACCTGCGCCATAATCCTTGAAATTTATCCATTGAAAATCGGGCCATCTATCATTCGACAGAATCTATTCAAACAGAGTACAACAGGGCTAGCAGTCCTTCAATTCAATTCAAAGAACTCCCTGTTGGCTGTCATGTGTTGCCGCCGTAATCATTTGATTTGGATGCGGCGGCAAATTCCCGCAGAGTGTGTTATCTGCTGGAATTTTGGGGTATTGTTATGAGGGAAATACCATGAAGATACCCTTTAAAATGCCAGATGTTTATGCCGGATGTGTGGCAGTAAAGTGAGTTGTATGCTCCAGCAACAATTGTTTTGCGTGTCAGGTTTCTTTTGTGTTTTTGTGTTTTTTTTCGCCCCGTTTTAACTCATTTTCTCCGCTCTATATAATTTTGGGGTGCTAATTCACAAAATGGCGTCTCCTAGTTCCCGGACTTCTTTTGCACACAAAAAACCACCGCCTCCTCTGGTTCCAGCTCGTCCTGTTATTGTACCACGCCCCAGTATGCTGCAGTTTGAGCCCCACGAAGAGCAGCGCATTTCCAGATGCAGGTACATGGTACTGGTTTATCTCCTCTTCGTGGTCTTACTTTTGCTTGCTTTGGTCCAATGGGAGGTTGTGTCGTATTAGTAAGTTTTTTCTTAAAATATATGTTTCTCTTCAATCATAAGTGTTTCTTCATACAGTAAACCATTAACCAATTTCTTTCTGGCCAAGTACTGGCTGAGTGTGTGTTGTATGCTGATTTCAGTTCCACTTCTCGCGTTATTTTTGCTCGTCCGCAAAGCGAGATATATGCCTATTCTTGGATGGGTACTATTATGTCTCATTGTAGGTATATTTTAAAAGTAGTTCATTCCTATGAACCATATTTCAGATTACAGATAGAGCTTATGGTAATTGGCATTTGCACATTTGCCGCTTATTGTGATGCGTGGCAATTCTTGATATACTTTACCATAACTGCAATGCTCATAATGACCTCTCTGCTTATTGGCTCCTTTATTCCCTGCGATTTGACCGCAAATGTGGCTGTCGTTTTCATGGTCAGCATACAGATATTTCTAGTGAGCATATTTCTGCTGATGACCTTTATGATGATTGATTCGGCCGATGGATTTTTCTATCCCTTTGCCGCTCTGGTTTTGGTGATTGTCTGTATGGTAAGGTGATCTGTTTAATTAAGGGATTCCTTCAATCAGTTCCTGTACCCAGTTTACCATGTACCATGCCCAATTGATCCGAGGTTGGCGGTATGCGGAACTATATACCACCGACGGACTATTTGCCGTGATCGTTCTATTTTGTCATTTCTGTATTATGCTGATGCTCTTTTGCTATTTGGAATGGAAGGATGTCGACGAATATGACGCAGTAAAGGATATTGATGATCTCTCTGATGAAATCACTGAAAATTACGATGAATCTGTAGGTTTTAGAGGCCTGAGTACTGATGAATTTAATGAAGGCGTTATAAGGCTTTAATTTTTAACTCAATCGGCTTCATTCGTCTTAATAAAAGTAAAGCAATAATTATTTATTTAATTGCAATTCGGTGATATGTTTAATTAAAGTTGCCATCAGGAAACTTAAACAGACATTTACAATTTTAAAATTTCCTATAGCTGCCAGGCAGAAATTAATTCGTAATTAATTCGAATGTGCAGTGGAAACGCCGTCTTATTATGGCAAGAATTATCCCAGTGTTGTTTTAATAAAATTGAGTCGGGAATTATCTCTCTTCGTCGTAATCCGCAAAGAGAGACCGAGCGAGTAGTGGCCATCTGGCAAGTGGCTCAAAGGATTCCCCGTCAGGGAATATAAATTATCGCATTATGCTTGCAGCTCAGCTTTTTCGCCCGTCGCGCCATGATACCAATTAGTATAATTACCAGGGGAAGGAAAATAAAAACAGCACTTTTAGTTGGTAAATAGTTCATGAAAAGCGCAGTTCTGCTCCTCCAAGCTAGTCGTTGGCCATTGCTGTGCAGCGGGCATTATTTTGTATTAAATTGTTGTAATTTTTAAGTCGCTGACAAAGCTGTGCCACAAAACACAACTGTCACTGGAGATTTTTGGGTCAGGCGTTTTCGGTGACCACTCAGGACGGCAGGCGCCGGCTAAGCCTCCCCGTCGACATTATAATAACATCCATCATTCTGGACCATATACAAATGACAACAACTGCCAAAGTAGCACACAAATAAAAATATAAACAAAATGGGAAAAAAACAAAAAGCCAAAAACGACTTTTGCTAGGACTACTCGCTGAGTAAACATGACATATTTTTGTTTACCCGAAACGTTTTCCTCGTTTTCCTCGTTAGAACGGCTGCTGATGGGCCTTTTAGGCCAGAAATGAATTGGCCCTTTGACCACCATTTAACCTGCCGTTTGCCGCCTTTATACACTCGTTTTTATCCGCGTACATAAGGCTGTGCGGGTGTATGAGTGTTTATCATCCAATAATAAGCAATTTCGTGCACATAATTGGCAGTGGCAGCATGAGTCGAAGTGGACAAAGTAAATAGCCATAATTAATGTATACAACATAAATGTGACCTGACCGAAATACGAAAAAAGCGGTCGAAGAACACGAAACGGCAGAGCCACAAAAACTGTTTGTCTTCAATGGTGCACAGTGGTTGGAAAGCTCAACTAAGTTGTATTATTATTGAAGAACTTAAATCCTGAAGGTAATAGAATGGGAACAATGCGCTTATAGCCTTAAATAATATAAAATGTTTTTAAAGCGGTTAAATAATAATCACTATAAAAACTCCCTTAAATTAAGAAGTCCTTTTGAATTTAATGTAATCTTAGAAATCCAGGAAATTCCAAATAATTTCATTACGATTGTTATAAAATCTATTACATCTAAGCTCAAGCATATAATGGATATTATTAATAACATATTCCATAACGTGAAAGCCTCTTAAGAGCTTTACCACTGTAAGCTGCTAAACGATATATGCCGTAAAATGCGTATACGCCGCGTTGTACACATTGCCAAATGTGCAATAAAGACGGTTTCTTCATTGATACGCAAAGCAGCTATATGGGCATCTATATTGTTAGATTGCAAACTGTATATTGAGTGCCGAATGTTTGAGCCAGCAATCGTTAAAATCGCTAAGGATGAAAAGTGCGCGAATGCGGACAAAAACGAGGGAGGCAAATATGGCACCAGCCGCAAAATTGGCAGAAACAACAGGAAAATGTATTTTCCCGGCGTCGCGATGCTGTTTCGTTGATATTCCCCGGCTGATTGCGTTGACGAAATCGCATTGACGAGCGCGCAATACAGCAAAAAAAAACGGACATATATCACAATTATGTAAGTGACAAATTTTTTTTAATTTGGAATTTCTACCTATATTGTTTAAGAATTCAAGCGTAAAGAGCTTAACAATTTAATTTTGGTGGAATTATGAAAGCTTTATATAGTGGGTTTTCATTTTACAGAAAGAAGCTAAATTGGTCGGGAATTTTGTGTGACCTTTTGTTTAAAATGTTAGCATGTTCTTTTCAAACACCCAAATTGCTGAACAATGATATTTTTTCCATGTGTAGAAGCAGGAGCAACAAAACATCCTGCGGATATTCGCCGGCCTAGGGTGGAAGATTGCAGGAAGTGCTGCTGTGTGAGTGTGTTTTTTGTACTTGGACACCCATCAAGGGTCTGAAGCATTCTCATTATTATAAAAAAGATGAGAAAGCGGTGGAGCGGGCAAATTCCAAATTAGATTTGCACGTTGTGTCAATGAAGGTTTGCTACACAACGCCGCCCGGGCCTCATTTAATTTTCCTTTAATTTTCGGGAAAGCACATTTGGTCGCGCGGCAAGCACTAATCAGGCGCAAAGCCTTTTTATTCCGATAATAGTAAAATTAAATAAATGCAAACTGCTGTGAAAATTTGAATTTACATTTGGGGCTAGAGCACAAAAGAAGTCTGTGAAATTTATGCGCTTCCCCCGTCGCGCTCCTTGGGTACTGTAAAATGTAAGCCAATGTCATTGTCGAGCGACGACGTTGACAGCTGCTCCCCAAAAAAACCATCACCCCTCCGTTTATGTTCTACTATGGAAGGTATAAACCGCCACCCCTTTCCCGTTGATGGTTGCCTTTTGTAGCCTGCATTGCTGTGACATTTTTATTACAAGGGCTCATGAATTTTATTTGGCTCGCGAGCAACGGATGCCGATTTTATGGGAATTTTCGCTCCCGCGGCATCAAATTTTCGGTTCCTTGTCCGGCGGTGAGTAGAGCGAAACTATTCGCCCAAGAAGACGAAGACGATCGAAAAGAAATTGTGTGCACAATGCGCTGCCCGCAAACAACTCTAATTAAAAAAGTTTTACGTTTAACCACTTGAGCTGGCTCAAACACACCCATGAAGGCATGTGTGTACGCACACTGAGGAAAAATAATTTTAATAAAAACAACAATTTATTTATGTATTTTGTAATTGTTATAATGGGCAAATGATATAAAAAAAATATTTTATTGTGAAAACACGATATTAAAACAGTTCTAATATTATTTGAAATTAAGTAAATTTCTTTCTCTTTATATCAGCTTCAAAGTTCATAATGCAGTTTTAAAAATGACTCAAAATAGTAATACATTAATTTAAAACAAATATAGGAATAATAAATAGGCAATTATGAAAAATATATATTTACGAAAATTGTGAAACTAAGTTAACCTTAACATAATGTTTATTTTATGCACATAAAATTAAAAGCATTGACCCAAGAAATTAACTTAATTGTTGACTAACTTAGTAAAACACAGAATTATGAAAAAGTAAATTATGTTTATTTTAAGCACATTACATTTGAATGCCACGAATTGTCACTAAAAGACCTAATTGCTTCCAGACTTGACAAACTTAAGTGGCTTTTATTTTCTGTGCAGCATGTTTGTGGCATGTGAGTGTGTGGCCAGACAATCAAAACTTTTGCCACAGCCGAGGAAACTTCAAAGCAAAGACAACCGGCGGCCTAGAAGCGGAGGGCCGGGAAGGTGGCAATAAAATTAATGAAGCGCCTCGGCTTTTAGCCGGCAGCCATGAGAGAGACATTAAAGCGGTTCGTCGGAACAGTTGTAGGTCATGTCATTGCCAATGTCTGTTTAAGTATGCGCACAAAGACTGGCGTTTTGCAGAAATTACGAGGACAAAAATGGGAATGAGTTCGAATGAGATGAAGCCCAAGAACAGGACAATTCGCCCGCGGGACAGCGGCCAGCTTGTTTTTGCTGATGGCGGTGGCTAATCTCTGATGTACACTTAATTATGTGGCACACTTTTGATTGCCGGGGGACTTGGCTGAGTGTCCATGCGAAAAAGAGCAACCCTTTCAGGTTGGTCCCAAGCACCCATTTCGGCCATGTCATGTAAATTTCATTTGCCAAATGCTGTTAGACTTTTTGACATTTTCATTCAACTTGGCAATGCAAACAAACGGGCGGGGAGCGATGGGGGCAGTTCATGAATGACAGAGGCTTGCAAAGGACACCGAGAGGAGCGCACCTAATCCGGCTGCCAGCTGAAAAAGTTCCCAGCAAAGTTTCCAAGTTGAGCGCCAAAAATTCTTATCACAACTTGCAGTGCATTCCATCAATTTTGCACCACTTTCTGCCCCCCAAATCTTCCACTCTATCTCCTCTCAGTACTACTGCAATAAAGCAATCAATTTTGAGTCCATGTCCCCCGCCGGCATTTTCCATCTCTCGCCTGTTTTTTTTTAACCTGAACAGTCAACGATGAACGACACCTTTGACACGGGCCATTGAAAAAGAAAAATATCGACGTGAAGCGAGTTATTCAACCGAATTCGTAATTGTTTTTAAATGAAACTCTTTGTCCTTGGCCGTGGCGAGTTGGCAGCAATTCAGCAGTTGAGCAGTTGTGCAGTTGAGCAATTGAGCAGTTCAGCAGTTCACCCGGTCCTCAATCAATCAATCGAACAATCAAGCCATGTTTATCTGCAGCGCTCGATATCGACAATAAGTAATGAACACGAATCGCGAGTCTGAGTCGCTCAGTCTTATCGGATTGTCCCTGCCGTACTATATATTGTCTGCTCATTTGGAATATTTCTGTTTGCATTATGTGCTATTTGCACATTTGATTGAATAAATTGATGTACACTTGTCATGCAATCGACAGATTAGGACTGAGGCAAGGCCTAACACAAACACTGTCTGCGTACTAAGTTAGAGCTAATAAAATTAAATGGTAAAAATATAAAAACAAAGACTATTTTCAAATAAGAAGCAACTTAAAATTCAGTAGGTTCTTATATTTACGTTTAGAGCTTAAAAAGAGTATATGAATTCGTGGGAAAAACATGAAAATGAAGATGTCCTGCCAAAAAGCTTCACATACCAAAATGAAAAGCAAATACTTACAAGAGTTGGCAAAGTGCACATTTTCTCTTTGTCAATAAACTCACCAAATTACATTAAATTTATAATAGAATCAAGAATTTAATGGCATTTCTCAAAATAATCTTAGAAAATCCTATTATCCTCAAATTTTAGAAAAAGCCACCTCTTGTCAATATTAAATAAGCCATAACGCAAAACTATGTATAAACGCATTGCGCATACGCACTGTTTGCCAGCTATCAGTCTGAACAAATTAATGCGACATGGCAGCAATTAGTCCAACGCTGCTAAATGATTTAAAACTTACGCCAAACTTTGTCCCTCCCACCACTTGTTTGTCCGCAACATTTTGCTCAAACTTTTAATTATTACACACTTGCGACTTGTTGTTCAATTTGTTCGCGATGCTGCCAGATTATAAACTTTTGTCGAGTTCAATTATGTACGTCGAATCGCCGGCATTGTTTGCTCTAATTCGCTCGGGAAACTTTTTGCTTTTTCGGACGGCCCATTTTGATGTGCAATTAGTGCCGGGAAAAAGCGTAAATTTTTGATACGAAACTCAGACCGACTAGACCGTATATCTCAGAGCTCCAGGCGACCCAAATCAAACTAAACTATATATCTGCTGCCATGTTCGACGCAAATATCAGCTTCTGGCCGTTTTACTACACGGAAACGGTCGAGCAGCGACGAAAATTCGTAATAACTGTTTTCTTGGAGTTTGCTGGGTTCGTCGTGCTTGGATTTGTACATTGGATCTTGATGCTAACGTTGCTGCAGTAAGATTTTCAGTTATTTAATCCTTG